TATCAAAAGACTGTGCCATCTGCGCTCTGAAAAAGCAGATAAGTTCCAGCGCCAAGAGAGACTTCATTTCCCATGGGTCTTTGCACCCGGAAGCAATGTGATGACGTCACCGCGGAACCCAGAACACGTCCTGCGCATGCGCCGAACCACACGGAGACAGCTGCTGAAGCTATGAAAGGAGGCGAAAAGAAACTTGTCTTTTGTCCAGAGTTCCACTGGCCGTAAAGACGCACTCGTTCTGCTATTGCTCCGGACAGCATGTGCACAGGGCTAACGGCTGAAGTCACGAGGCCTGGGTGGAAAGCAGCGGAAAAGCCATCAAATCAGCGCGGATGACAAGGGGACGCCTTTGCTTCGCTCAGCTGGTTTGCTCCTGCAAGTTTTATTATTCTCTTTATCTCCCGACTTCTCTTAGTCTGAACATGCAATAAACCGCGCATTGCTTCAAAGTGATATCGTGTTTTCCTCTATCTCCGGACCAAAAACGCCATCCGGATCACCGTGAAGTAAAGACGTTTCTTTTATTAATATCTAAGTTTTTAAGCTGTGGCCACAGCATAAAACAGATCATTAGATATTGCCTGGGAGTGACCTTTTGTGTGTCTCTTGATTTATTGTTTTTCTGAGTTTTGTGAAGGAAGTTGGTATTTTTAAGTCACTATGCATGAAACGTGCCACATTGCTGAAATGCTAAGATCACTGTGAGAGCTAGATCTTTGTGTCTACAGAGAGAAAGTCTCCACACACACACACACACACACACACACACACACACACACACACACACACACACACACACACACACACACACACACACACACACACACACACACACACACACACTCCCCCGCATTCCACAAGTGGTTAGACAAAAGGGAGTCAGACATTTTGGACATCATCTCAACACACACACACACACACACACACACACACACACACACACACCTTGAACACCATTTTTATTACCCATATCAGATTGTTACATCACATTATTATTATTCATTATTGTAGTTGTTTGTTTGATAAAATAGGTTGGTTAATAAATGTTGTAAAATTTCAGTTTTGTGTCAAGCGACTTTTTGTGTTGGCTGAAAATCTTTGCTCCTAAATGGATTGTACAAACTTCAGACAGACTAACCAGAGGTTTTGGATTCATTAATATTTCCCTATTAAAGGGATGGTGCCCCATAGATATCTTTGATATCCAAATTAATAAATAAATCAATAAATATTTCCATATTTACGAATTTATTGAAGAATCCAAAAAGTAAGTAAAAGCTTACAAATTATTCGTTGACCTAATAACCCCAACAGTATTGTATTGTGTAATTTGTTGTAAAGCTATTCTATTATTCAACTTTAATTCAGATATATTTTACCTTACTCTTTCCCAGTTAAATTTACCCTTCATTTTAATTCGTGGTGTACAGTTTTTTATTTTCAACTCTTAGGTCACGAGCAGTTGTGTAAGGCATTTCACTGCATTTCGTACTGTGTATGAATGTGTATGTGATAAATAAAAATTGAATTTGAATTTTGATTTACACGTCCTCGGAGAGACGAGACACTGGACGCTCTCCTGAGCCTACAATCCACTCCCGCATCTGCCGCTTCTGTCACGTTCAGCGAACCATCGGACACGCCACTCGTCACGGATGAAGCTGAACATTCACCTCTCCCGTTAGTAAAACAAGCAGTAACTGTAGCAATACAGTGTTCTCCAGATATATAATATCTGCAAAAATGACTTAAGCCGTTTCACTGAATATCCTAATCATCTATAAAGCACACAACAGCTCTGGATGCTAAAATTCTCCTAAATCATTCATCATTGAATAAGTTTGATCACACAATAGCTTACCGTTAATTTCTGCTGACAAAAATGTGAGCTCTTGACAACAAAAACTCTCCCTCTCAGTTACCAAGGAGACGTATTTGCCGCACACACACCACCAGTTTTCTCCTGCGCTAGCTTCATCCCGCCCTTGCTCTTTATTTTGATGCTCGTTTTGTGAAACGTTGTCAGTGATGTCCTCATTAATGTTTCACTCTGGTTCAAATTGAAAAGGCTGAACAGATAACATGTTGATGTTGCTGAACAGTCACTACAGGGTCCCAAAGCCGGCTGGTGCAACTGAGGTACAACCCTATGACGTCACTACCCAGGGTGCATTGCGACGCTAACAACAATGGCGACCTACGAGTTAAACTATTTTTACAAATTTTATAAAAATGAAGACATTACGAAGGTTTTTACACCACTTTAATATAACTGATACTAACATTTATCTTTAATAAACCACAAAGTTTTGTAACCTGGGTTCCTTTTAAGCCAGTCGACAGTATAGAATTGGCAATGCTCTGGGATTTTAATGACATTTTATTGGCAGTTGATTGGGGCACTTTGTTATTTTAGTATTTTGGATCTATCGACTGTATTCCATACTGTGGATCATTCTCTCCTGATTTCAAGGATGGAACACTTTGTGGGTGTTAGAAGGGTCGCGCTGGATTGGTTTGTGTTGTACCTGGCTGACAGACCCTTCAGTGTCTCATTGGGGGATTTCTCTTCCTCTAATGCCTCATTCTCCTGGGGGGATCCTCAGGATTCCGTGTTGGGCCCATTGTTGTTTTCTCTGTATCTGCTACCTCTTGGTTTGTTTTTTTAAGAAACATGGGTGTCATTTTCACTCCTATCCATATGGTTCCCAGGTATACGTGCCTTTTGAGAGGGGCCACAATCATGCTTTGCAGTCTCTTTTAGACTGTCTCGTTGAGGTTAGGCAATGGATGTTTTCTAACTTCCTTCTTATTGGGTTGATGTCATAGCCGTGGCGCTAGAATTTTAGGCGTGGAGCAGTGCCTATGTAGGGGAAAACTAAGTCTATTTCTACCTTTGATGAACAGTTATGTATCTTTGTCAAGAACATAACCATATCTCAGAGTAAAATGGTGTTCTCTTGGCCTGGAACTAATAAGTATACATTTTAAAATATTTGTTTATCTCAAGAAAAACTCATTTCAAAATGTATTTCATGTTTTCTGAGTCTAAATATATAGTGATAAGGTAATTAACTTCATGTGATTCTGTTTTTCCTACAGATGTTGAACAAGTGGTGCTGGTTACAGAGGCTTCTAAAGAACAAGATGATAGTGTGGACCAGCAGGACCCGGAACACCTTGACATAGAGGAGGAACAGGAGGAAATCTGGACCAGATTTGAGAGAGAGCATCTCCATTTGAAGGAGACTGATGCTGCCAGGTTTCCATTCACTGCTGTTTCTATAAAGAGTGAGGATGATGAAGAGAAACATCTGTTCTTGCAGCTTCATCAGCAGCAAATAGAAGACCGAGATGTTCCAACCAGCAGCTCAGCTGACCAGATGACAGCAGATACTGGTGGTGGAGCAGAAACTAGCAAGAACCCAGATTTGAACCCTCATGAAAAGACATCTGGTTCTTCAGAGACTAAAGTTAGTGAAGATGATAAAGAGGCTGATGATGTGAATAAATGCTGTGAGCTGTCAGACTGTGTTTTTGAAATTGGAGACATAGACAATGACTGGAATGAAAGCAGATCTTCTGAGTCAGATGTTAAGAATGTCAACAAGACCTTTAGCTGCCCTGGGTGTGGTGAACAGTTTTTCAACAAGCAGTCTCTCCAGAAACATGTGCAAGGGACAATTCATTCAGCAAACAGGTCTTCAGGCTGTTTGGTTAATAAAAAATGTTTTAGACTTGAGAAATATGTAGACTCACAAAGAAAAGTCCAGAAAGACCAAAAATTTAGTTGTGATCACTGTGGAAAATGTTATAGCAGAATATCACATTTAAAGGTTCACTTGAGTGTCCACACAGGACAGAAGCCTCTTTCCTGTGAGGTCTGTGGACAAAGAGTTAAGCACAAGAGAAATCTTGCCAGACACATGAGAGTCCACACAGGACAGAAGCCTTTTGCCTGTGAGCTCTGTGGACAAAGATTTAGCCAAAAGACACATTTAAACTGTCACATGAGAGTCCACACAGGACATAAACCTTTTGCCTGTGAGCTCTGTGTACAAAGATTTAGCCAAAAATCAACTTTAAACACTCACATGAGGGTCCACACAGGACAGAAACCTTTTGCCTGTGAGCTCTGTGAACAAAGATTTAGCCATAAGTCCAATTTAAATAGTCACATGAGAGTCCACACAGGACAGCAATCTTTTGCCTGTGCGTTCTGTGGAAAAAAATTTACCAACAAAAAAAATCTAAACAAACATACAAGAGTCCACAAAGGACAGACAGCATTCCAAATGAATCCCTTGTAGCTTTACACCCCAAATTTCAGTTTTGCCCCCCTGGTTGCAGTTGTTTACTCTAAATCAGGGATGCATCTGGCCCATTAGACATAATTTCTAATCTGTGAGCCATATTTTGTTGTAGCATTTTGTAAGGTTACCAAAGATCCTCAGATGTCATCTCATTTCCAAGAAACTTAGGTTATTTAACTTATTGTGAATTAAAAATGTTAAACATTCTTTTGTTAATATATCAATATTCATGTGTGAATATACTGGTAATAAATCATGATTAAATTCGTCAGGTAGACTCATTTGTTGTACTTTGTTGCGAGTCCCCACATGCCAAAGACAGTGGCAAGCTGAAACACACTGGACTGGCTTGTGCGAGCAAAATCAGCCAGCCGACAGGAGCTGGGCTGCAGGTCAAAAAACTGTGGTCAGAAACAAGGGTCACACAAGGGTCACAGGGACAAGAGGACAGAACTGGGCGAAGGGTCAGGAGACTGACCCCACCTCTTTGCCCCACCCCTGGCTTGGAAAGATGGGATTGGAGGAGAACAGAGTGAAGACAAGCCCATCAAATCCAGAAGTCCTCTCGGGAACATTGGAGAGAAACTGAAGAATGATGACACCAAATGTTTTGAGCTACAAAGTGTGTATCTGGTAAATGACCCCTTGACCTTAAGCTGGTCCAGGAAGGGTATATAAGAACAGCTCTGAACAGCAGATGGGAATTGAGAGATTCGACAGCAGTTGGGGCAGAGGACAGAGAGGAGAGCAGATGGGGAGGGGTCATCCCCCGTCCAAACCTGGATGGGGGATGACAGAGAGAGAGACTAGAGAGAGTTCTTGGGGAGATTCTGAGAAGACAAGAGCTGGTGTAAACTAACTCTTATTTAATCATTTTGAACTAATTCCTCCGTGGGGGATAGCAGTTGTTTTTTCATCTACCCATTTTTGTATTTTGATTTTGTAATAAACCTTTTTTGAAAAAGAAACATAATCCTGATTCTTTCAGGTTTTCTCTAAAGCTTCACGAGTGGGGGCTCTGATCATTAATTGCACAGAGGTAAGCACATTAATTATGGGTTCTGGAATTATCAGGACTTACTTTACGGTTTGTGACAGATTAATATAAAGAAACCTTAAGATAACGGGATTGCTTAAAAAAAAGTGAGCTACTACAGAAGGAAAGGTCTTACATATTATTTCACCTTTAAAATAAAAGATATGATTCTAACTTAGGATGCCCAAACCAGGATCTAATACTATAATACTCACCGACATCCCCATCGAACCCTGATGGATGCACCGTCTCATAAGTTCTAACGGAACTGGGTTTTAAAGGAACCGGTAAATGGGACGGGCACACGACAACTTAAGATCTGAAATAAGAATAAACAATTATGTTGATTTAATCATTACTTTAAAGCAGTCAAGACATTATTGAAGTCACCTTAGATAAACATTCATAGTAGATAAAACGGAATATAATTGTAAATGCCTTGTAAAGTTAGGAAATAATTTCTGAAACCAAATACCGTAAATCCTCTAATATTAGCCTGTATTTAATTAACTGTCGGGTATCATATTTTGGCCGGTGTCGGAGTCGGCGGAGGTGAATAATGGCCGGATTTTTATTGTGGCCGGGTGGAATGTGGTAACAAGCAAGTACGGGGGGCGGTTGTGTCATCCGCCTCACTTTTGATTTGCCAGTGATAGACCGCGAGGGTAACTTTAACCGTGCGGAGACGAAGAGGAGGAGAAAATTTGATAACAAGTTCAAAGAGAACGTGCTGATTATGCTGCAGAACACTCTGGGGAGCAGTAGCAGGGGTTGTAAGAACTAGTCACTAGTCGACTTCACCGCTCTATAGTGACTTTTTGTGCCTGTCATCGACCAGTCACTGTCACGTGATAATGACCAGCAAGATGCAGTCCACGGATAAGACAGCAACCTGCTGTCAGCAGGTGACAAGCTTCTGCACGTCGAGAGGCAACGTGCTGTGCCAGAGCGTCGGCACTGACACCCGCCGTAAAACGGACATTTAAGCAAATTGTGACCTTTACCCTCTTGCAATTTAACCTTCCCCTCACCCCCATCCTAACCTTAACCAGCTTGCGCATGCAAAGCTCTGATTGTTGACGCACTCCAGACATCTGCGTCCTGAGCACGGCCACAGTAACATTATCAAATCAGGTGTCGCCACCTCAAAAACTAATTTAACACGCGATCGTTCATGTCGGCTCATTTCCTTTTATGTTTTCTGTCTTTTATTTTATTTGTGCCTGATGTGTTTCGCTGCTGTGGATCAGGGCACATCACCTGTTTTGTTCTCGATGAAGCACCTAACTGATGTGGCCGATAAGCAGCGTGCACTCTGCTGTTTCTGCGGTCGGTAGATCTTTTAGAACTGCAGTTCAAAGGTAACTCATAAGGTGAATATATATGAAGGCAGGTAGCAGTTTTTCTTTAGGATTGAGAGGAGATGCAGGAAGATAATAAACAGGTAGGACAGAAAAATAGTCAAATAAAAACAAGTTAGTTTTTTTTACCTGGTGGTTGCAACAAGGTAATCAGAAGTGAGGAACAGAAAATGAAATAATTATTTTAATGTTTAGAGCAGCAGGAACACTGAGAGGCTGCAGGCGCATTAGTGAGTTTGCGGCCGCTGCGCAGGGGGAGGGAGAGAGGGCTGAAGCAGAAACTACCGTTGTTAAAAGAAATGTGATTAACTTTGAAAATGTGGGCGCAATTTTAATTGTCAAAAACTCCAACGAACCATTAGTTCATTTTGCTCAAATGGAAATTGAGGCCTGCCTCTAATTCTGGTCCTCCTTCCAATAAAGGCCTGGAGCTTGATGAGCTTGAGTCAAATACAGACCCGGGCCTGTATTAGAGGATTAACGGTATGAATAATTTTATTAAAGTTAGGAGTTGAAGAGTTTGGTATTGTGAGGAGACCTTGGGTTTGCAGCTACGTGTCAACATGAGAGGTTGTTCTGACATGTATCCAGATGGTGTGCTAAGAAGGTTATAAACAGGAGAATGTTTTGGTTTGGACAAGTACACCACAACCCAGGCAGATGGAACCTTTGCTAAACACTTCCATGTCTGGTGACACATGACCTTAAGGCCTGTCCTACGCTACATAACCCCTCCTTCCAAGTAATTGGGGTCACGGGCAAAAGGCCACAAGTCTTTGGCAAAAGTAGATCGGCCATGATGGCGTAGAAGATGGTGTTATATCCAAGGGAAACAAGAGATGCAGATGAAAGAGTGAGGTTATCCAAACACTTCACATTGAAATACGTTCCTTTCAGCCTATTGTAATCCAAACATAGCGATATTCACAGGCAAGAACACTGGACGAGAAGCATGCTGGAACCATCGCAAAGCAGGAAGGCAGGACACCAGAAAAGCACAACAGGAGAAAAGTAGATGGCAGTGAGGTCATCTGGGGGAGTTTATGACATCGTTGGAAACACTCACACAGGACAATAGACCCACACAATTTATGTCAGATGGTGTAAAAAAATTAAATTAAAGGAACAATGTGTATGTGGATTAACTGAATGACATAGTTTATTGTGTAGCAAGTGATTGATTTAACTACACTTATTAAATGATCAATAAGGTGTTATTTTCCATATAAATATGAATTATCAATCTGATTGGTCTTTGAATATTTGCATAACGCTTCCTTTTACAGTCCCCTAAATACAAAGTACTTACTTGGTAATTGCATAATAAGTTAAAGTGTATTATTTCTGAGTTCTTAAACCGTTATTACCATGTAACTCAGGTTCAATTCTAGTTTTTATTTTAATAATCATTCCCAGTAAATACTGCTTTACACAATAATTACAGTTTATTACAAATGTGCACTTTAATTACCCAATAATACATGTTAACTTACTATGTAATTAATATGTAAGTACTTAGTAGTTAGGGGACTGTAAAAGGAAGCCTTACCACTTTTTGATTTAATAAAACTCCCGATGGGTTACCGGGGTCCCACCCTGGAGCCAGGCCTGGGGTTGGGGCCCATGAGCAAGCACCCGGTGGCCGAGCTTTCGCCCTTGGGGCCTGGCGGGGCCCAACCCGAACCGGATACATGGGCCCCACCACCTGCAGGAGGAACACAAAGGGTCCGGTGCAATGTGGATGGGGTCGCAGACCAAGGCGGGAGCTTTAGCGGTCGGATCCTCAGACACAAAAACTGTCTATTGGGACATGTAACATTACCTCTCTGGCAGGGAAGGAGCTAGAGCTTGTGGAAGAGGTTTAGAAATAGTCAGGCTCACCTCGACACATAGCATTGGCTCTGGAACCCAAGTCATTGAGAGAGGTATGCTGGAGTTGCTCAGGGTGAAAGGCGGAGGGCTGGGGTGGGGTTTCTCTTAGCTCCAAGACTCTCTGCCTGTTGGGGTTTTCTCTGGGAGACGAAAGCATAGCTTCCCTGTGCCTTCAGGTCAGGAAATGGGTCCTTACTGCTGTCTGTGTTTATGCACCAAACTACAGTTCAGACTACCCAACCTTTTTGGAGTCCCTGGAGGGTGTGCTGGAGAGTGCTTCATCTGGTGACTCCCTCATTCTTTTTGGGGACTTGAACGCTCACATGGGCAACAACAGTGAGACCTGGAAAGATGTGTTTAGGAGGAATTCCCCCCCAATCTGAATCCAAGCGGTATTTTCTTATTGGACTTCTGTGCCAGTCATGGATTGTCCATAATGAGCACCATGTTCAAGCACAAAAGTGTCCTGTTCAAGCTGTGTTTTGCGTGACCTTCATCAATATCCTATTCTTATTCAGTTCTTTCTACTAATACCACCTTTTCTGGGATTCATGATATTTTTTCATATTTAAAAAAATGATTTACTATTATTTCTGTTGTAAAGAACTTTGTGATTTTTATCTTGAGAGGCAAATTATAAAAGATTGTTTTCTTTCTTTCTTTTGTTTATATTCGTAAGTCTTTTTCTACCACCGCACATTTTCAGTAATCGTTGATTCCAAGAAAAGCTCATTTCAAAAGGTATTTCTTGTTTTATGAGTCTAAATATAAAGAGATTAGGTAATTCACTTCACATTTTTCTGTGTTTCCTACAGATGCTCAACAGGTGGTTCTGATTAAAGAAGAAACTCATGAAGAACAGGGTGCTGGTGTGGACCAGCAGGACCCAGAACATCTCCACATAAAGGAGGAACAAGAAGAACTCTGGACCAGTCTGGAGGAGACTGATGGTGACAGGTTTCCATTCACCGCTGTTTCTATAAAGAGTGAGGATGATACAGAGAAACCTCTGTTCACTCAGCTTCATCATCAGCAAATAGAAGACAGAAATGTCCCAACCAGCAGCTCAGCTGACCAGATGCCATCAGACTGTGGTGGAGGAGCAGAAACTAGCAGGAACCCAGATCTGAACCCTCATCAAAAGACATCCGATTCTTCAGAGACTGAAGTTAGTGGAGATGATGATGTGAATCTAGACTCTGAGCTGTCAGAATCTGGGTCTGAAACTGGAGATGGAGACAATGACTGGAATGAGAGCAGGTCTTCTGAGTCTCCTATCAACAAATCCTTTAGCTGCCCTGAATGTGGTGAAAAATTTTTCCACAAGCAGTCTCTCCAAAAACATGTGCAAGTGACAAGTCATTCAGCAACAAAATCTTCAAGCTGTTTGGTTAATAAGAAATGTGTTGAAGTGAAGAAAAATTTAGACTCATACAAGAAAGTCCAGAAAGAACAAAAATTTAATTGTGATGACTGTGGAAAACAGTTTAGCAGAATATCAAATTTAAACATTCACTTGAGAGTCCACACGGGACAGAAGCCTTTTTTCTGTGAGCTTTGTGAACAAAGATTTAGCAGCAAGACAAATCTTAACAGACACATGAGAGTCCACACAGGACAGAAGCCTTTGGCTTGTGTGCTCTGTGAACAAAGATTTAGGGATAAGTGTGCTTTAAAAAGTCACATGAATGTCCACACAGGACAGAAACCTTTTTTCTGTGAGCTTTGTGGACAAAGATTTAGCCGGAAAACAAATTTAAACAGTCATATTAAAGTCCACACAGGACAGAAACCTTTTGCTTGTGAGCTATGTGGGCGAAGATTTAGCCGAAAGACAAATTTAAACAATCACATGAATGTCCACACAGGACAGAAACCTTTTGCATGTGAGTTCTGTGGACAAAGATTTAGGGATAAGTGTGCTTTAAAAAGTCACATGAATGTCCATACAGGACAGACACCTTTTTTCTGTGAGCTTTGTGGACAAAGATTTAGCCGGAAAAGAAATTTAAACAGTCATATTAAAGTCCACACAGGACAGAAGCCTTTTGCTTGTGAGCTATGTGGGCAAAGATTTAGCCGAAAGACAAATTTAAACCATCACATGAATGTCCACACAGGATAGAAACCTTTTGCATGTGAGCTCTGTGGACAAAGATTTAGGGATAAGTGTGCTTTAAAAACTCACATGAAAGTCCACACAGGACAGAAACCTTTTGCATGTGAGCTATGTGAACAAAGATTTAGCCAAAAATCAACTTTAAACACTCACATGAGGGTCCACACAGGACAGAAACCTTTTGCCTGTGAGCTCTGCGAACAAAGATTTAGCCAGAAGTCCAATTTAAATAGTCACATGAGAGTCCACACAGGACAGAAGCCTTTTGCCTGTGCGTTCTGTGGAAAACAATTTACTAACAAAAAAAATCTAAACATACATACAAGAGTCCACAAAGGACAGACAGCATTCCAAACGGATCCCTTGTAGCTTTACACCCCAAATTTCAGTTTTGTCCCCCTGGTTGCAGTTGTTTACATCAGGGATGCATCTGGCCCATTAGACACAATTTCTAATCTGTGAGCCATATTTTGTTGTAGCATTTTGTAAGTGGTTACTTTTAATAAATTGTTGATAAAACACGAAGGTATTCAGTAAGATTTTATATTCCATATCAATATGAATTATCAATATCATTGAACCTTTAATATTCAATCGATGATGGATAATAGATCTTTTGGGTATGCCAGGGAAACAGCACTTTATAATTATTTGACATGGAGATTAAATAAAGTTATGAAAATGAATTTAATACTATATTTCTGATGATACAGGGCAAATGATTATAAATGACAGTGTTTCCCCTAGGAATTTTTCCAGCTGTGGCGGTGGGGCCAGCCGGGGGGATGCTTGGGGAGAAATTATGACACGTCTCTAAATAAAGTAAAATTTTCTAGTGCAGAGTGGAAACAACCCACAGAAGCACTAATTTGATCTCATTTCAGAGAAAAATAGAACAGGTCAGATGCACCTAATAAATAAAATTACTAACAAAGTCAGGAATCTGCTTCACTTTTCTGGTGCTGAAAATATCACTTATGAGGATCAAAGGAGATACACAGATGAATGCACCTCTTATTTATTATTTGGAGACTACATTTACTGCAGCTGGAAGAGGCAGATATTTTTTCTATTGATACATGGAATTTACAGAATCATTTTAAATTTTAATAGGGGAAGACTGCAGGAGGAAGCGGTAAAATACAGGGGGTCCCCAGCAAAAACAAGAACCTTTACGAGTCTGATGAAACCCGCTGGTATTCCATCAGTCACGGGGCAGCTCCAACGACCCAGTGGCTGTGCTGGGTCAGTTATCGAGCTCAGTCCGGCTTGGCCGTGAATGAGCTGAGGCGACGTCGTGCTCTGCTTAAGAAGAAGTGTTATTTTCCCGCTTCAGAAGAAGCTTCCAACGTGTTTTTACGCTTTCTCCGAGACCTGTCACGTCGCTAAGTTGTTAGCGCTGCGCGCTAACACGTCAATAGTGCAGCATAGCCTGCTGGAGGTTTTAAGGGTTCAGATGAAAACACCCGACCTCTCAGGCTGCTCACACATCGATCTTAAGTTGTCGCTGTTGCGCTCACGCTGTAATACAGTATTAGATGCGGTTAAAGTCAGACATGAAAAAATAAATAAATTTTACATGAATAAGTGATGCTTAGCCTGGCGGGGGGAGGAAAACCTGTCAAGATCGTCAACACTCATTTATCTTAATGCTATTGTAAACCAAAAAGCATTATATCCACTCCTACCTTTCTAATTTTAAACTCAGTAACTTATGCTGTAACTTCACCTTGCTCTGCCTACTCCTCCTTGCTGCCTGCCGGCTGTGATCACAAGCGACAACATAGTAGTTCCCGCTGCTTCTTCGGGAAACAGCGCAAGAAAAAAAGAACAACTTGGGATCTTGTTGGTGTGGCGGTGGGATTTCAGCCGTGGCGGCCCGCCACGGCTATGTCTATGTAAGGGAAACCCTGAATGAAGATCATTTGACAATGAGTGAACTCCTGAAATATGAGCTTAGATGTTATGTTAAAAAGCCTAATTAAGTGTGTAAGAAAATGTGAAATCTAGGTATAGAAACTATATTCGATGAATTGGATTTAGTTATTAATTATTAATATAAACCATCCAGCACCAGTGTGTAGAATCTAAGAACCGAAGTGGTGAGAGTTTTCAGGAGATCCAGCTGGCACGAAGTCCTCTCGACAAGTATGGCCAGGGATTTGGACTCCCATAGTGTCCAAAGGCCGTAGGTCTTTTTGAACATGGGCTGGGCAGCTCAAAAAGATACTATCTGGGTGACTGCTTGAAGCTGGCGGAGATGTTTTGCATCTGATGGCAAGTTTAACAAAGAAAAATTGATCTTGGAAAAGGATGGTTCAAATGCCGCTACAATTACTCTACTGAAAGATTTGGATTTAATCCCCAAAGGATGGCAATTTAGCAAAAGCTGGAGCTTTAGCTGGAACTGAATTTTAGAGGAAATTAACAGAACTTTTAAAGATAATTTGATTATAAATATTAGACAAATCAGAATCCAGAAAATGCAATTTAATTGTGATGACTGTGGAAAACAGTTTAGCAGAATATCAAATTTAAACATTCACTTGAGAGTCCACACGGGACAGAAGCCTTTTTTCTGTGAGCTTTGTGGACAAAGATTTAGCCAAAAGACACATTTAAACAGTCACACTAGTATCCACACAGGACAGCAGCCATTTGCCTGTGAGCTCTGTGGACAAAGATTTAGCAACAAGACAAATCTTAACAAACACATGAGTCCACACAGGACAGAAGCCTTTTGCTTGTGGTCTCTGTGAACAAAGATTTAGCCAAAAGACACATTTAAACAGTCACTTGAGAGTACACACAGGACAGAAACATTTTGCCTGTGAGCAATGTGAACAAAGATTTAGCCAGAAATCAACTTTAAGCTGTCACATGAGAGTTCATACAGGTCAGAAGCCTTTTGTCTGTGACTTCTGTGGACATAGATTTAGTGATAAGAGAAATCTAAACAGACACACACGAGTCCACACAGGACAGAAACCTTTTGCCTGTAAATGATGTGAACAAAAATTTAGCCATAAATTAACTTTTAAGAGTCACACGAGAGTCCACACAGAACAGAAAGAACCACAAGAATTCCAGAAGAGTCAATTGTAGTTTTTACACCTCACACCAGTCTTGTCCCCCTGGTGACAGTTGTTTACACTACATCAGGGCTGCATCTGGCCCATGAGACACCATTTCTGGCCTGCAAGCCACATGTTGTTGCTCCCCAAGCTGCAAATGTTTCACTAAATTTTTTTCAATCGAGAGGTGGTGCTCATCATTATACAACCATGAGCTGCAGCCTGAGCTACTGTCCTAGTTTTCCTTTTCAACTGACAATTACGTAGTCCTTCTTTGCCATGGAAATTAACTTACTCCCAAACAAAACTTTCCACTGCATTTTATTTCTGTCATTAAAGGACCTGCTGAGATCAATTCAGCAATTGGACTTGTGATCACACGTGATTAAGCATAGCATTCTGGGATGTGCGCGGACACATTGGAAGCTTGTCGAGTATAAACAGTCCATGAATCAAACAGTACTGTCGCAGAGAAAAAGCGGATTTGAGTGAAAGAAAGTGTTAAATAACATTATAAAGTCCCAAAAAGGATGCGGAATATACAGGGATACGTTAAATAAAGACGTCGGGTACCGGTATGTGGACAAAATCTGAGTTATAAATGTTTTTTATCCACATGAAAGACCCCAAACCGGAGCACCGATGACATATTGTTGCCGCTGCAATTCTGCATAATGGACATTTTCGGCTTTCTTGTTTGTGGTGTGAGCGGATGTAAACATTCGGATAAGAGATAAATGTTTTGTTGGTTTTTCAAGTAAAACAATCACATTTGTCATCCCACAGAAGAAGTGTTGCAAGAGAAGTTGTGTGTCAGTGCACCCGCATGTGTGTGTGTGTGTGTGCGCATGCTTGTGGTTTGTGAGATCTATTTGTCAGGTTACACACTAGCATTATGAAACCAATAGGTTTATGAGACCATTTTTGACAGTCTCATAATTCGTGACTTTTAAAGTGTTGTAATATTTGAAAAACATAAAAAGTAACCGTTAATAGATTAATACAAACTTTGTAACAGCCGTTATCATTTTATTTAGTTATTTCAGCAACTTAATCTTCCTTTTGTGTTTTATAGCCAATTTAAAAACTGATAAACTAGCCTTTTAGATGGAGGCATGTTGGAGGCAGGGCAAGGGAGAGCCGTCTTTACAGACTGTATTCTCCACTGTACACAACAAGCATCGCATGGAACCATTGCCAAATTAACACCTTCCCAAATTTTTATTTAACTAGTCATTTATTTGTTTTTAATGTCTCTACTGCTTCGATGAAAAACAGATTGAGGTCAAAAAGTCAAGAGAAAAAAAAACCTTGGTCAGATTTAAATAAAGGAACATCATAATGAAATGCGCTTTTTTTTAACTTGTTTGTCACGGCTTATGAAGCAAATATAAAAATAACAAAAATTTAACAGAAACATCAACTGTCTTTGATTAAAATATTTGTCTGGGGAAATTATTACAACGTATGTGTGGTTTATTAGTCAAATGCAGAACACACGTCTGTAGAAATTACTCTAGTCCAGCAGGTGGCGCAAGTGCACCTTTACGCTGGTCACCGACCACCGGAAAAAGCAGAAACCGGAAGCTGCTAGCAAAGCTAGCTTGTTGTTCTGGTGTGTGAGGAGAATATTTGAGGCTCTGCAGTAAAAATGTCTTCACTTCAGTCTCTGGGAGAGTTGATCAGCTAAAGCGACTAACTGCTGCTGCTGCAGAAATTGTAAAGAAAACCTGCTACCACTTCAGGATCATCCATCAGCTGGGACTGATTCATCGTGTGTTCTTCACCATCTGGACCTGGACAGCATGGACACAGGTACTGGTGGATGAATGAATATATCATCACTGCATGGTGGGACATTAGAGTACCTCTCCCATGAGGTGTTATCATTAAAAAATGTTCGTGTTGTGTTTTAGTCTGCTGCAGCAGCTCGGTCCGAACCTCTCTGGTTCTTTCTTCACAGAGGAGAGAAGCTCCAGAGCTTTTGAACTATTGAACTAACTTTAATTTTAACACAGCAGGACTTCAAGACGAGGAGGCAGTGATTGAAATTTATCTTTGTTTACTAAAATGATTAAACAAATGGTAAAAGACAACTCAGTTGAAACTAGACTTAAAAACAGAAATATTAAAAATAAAATAGTAAGAAATGCAAAACAATAAAAAAACAACCTTGGTCAGTATGTCGTCCGGTTCTTGGTCAGTTTTTCCAGACAGGAGGAGGTTTAGAGAGAAGCTTATTTAAGACTAAATTAAAGTTATTAAAGCCCGTATTGTTTCATTCTGTCTGTTGATCAACTTTACGGAATGGACGATTAAAGCAGTATCGTTGCTTACTCTTGTAACTTTATTAACAAAAGTGCTTTTTCCAGGTACAAACACATAAGCCCAGACTGTTTTCGACTTTTGTGTTGCCTCTAAACAGTCCCCCCTAGAAACACATAAGAAGTATATAACATTCCACTGGTTACACGAATGAGCTCTGGGATGATGGGAGACATCGGTCCGATTCACCAGTGTTTTCTTCACAAATCTTCTGGGGAGATATTTATTCTTACTTAACAGAATGCCCTGGACCCTTCACTCATTGTAATTTTAAACGTCTGCAGGCCTACGATTATTTTGTTTCAAGGGATTTGAGGCCCTCTCCATTGCAAAATGACTTTATCACCGGGGTCATTTAGATTTACAACTCAGGCACAATTTAGATGCGCCTCCTTCCACAATGAAAGAGGCCTTCTGCAGACACATATCCTTTTTCTGGATGCAAAGTCGTCTATGAGCAGGGTATCCGCGGGTCCTTAAAAAGTCTTAAATTTACTTTTCCAAATTTAAGGCCTTGAAAATCTTTAAAAATGACAAATAATCCTTAAATACTGTTTCCAAAGGTCTTAAATTACCAGAGACCCAATAAACTAGATTATTTTATTTCTATGACATTTTCGTGAATTTCTAGTTAGTCTTCAGCATTTTTTGTGTACGATGTTGGCGTAAGCGGAACCGTACCCATTCAGTTGGTTGTGAAAGGGGACTATTTTTAGATGAGCACATTAGCTGGTTAAGCTAGTGGGAGCTTGCGCCATGGAGAAGTGCAAGTTTAATGGTAAATGGATGGTTAATGCCACGTTCGCGACGTGGTTAGCACCGGTTCCAGGCAATAGCTGGAAATTATAGCTTAAATTTAATTTTAAAAAATAGCTTAAATTTGGATCTCGATCGAAAGGAGTCAGTTGAGGTGATTTGGGCATCTGGTCAGGATGCCTCCTGGACGCCTCCCTGGGGAGGTGTTTTGGGCATGTCCTGCCGGCAGGAGGCCCCCGGGTCGACCCAGGACACGTTGGAGAGGTTACATATCCAGTCTGGTCTGGGAACGTCTTGGGGTCCTGCCGGGGGAGCTGGTGGAGGTGGCCGGGGAGAGGATGGTCTGGTGCTCCCTAGTTGGTATGCTGCCCCCGTGACCCGGACCTGGATAAGCGGAGGAAGAACGACAACGAGCTTAAATTTGGTCAAAGTGGCCTTAAAAAAGGTCTTAAAAAGTCTTAAATTCGGCTCCCTTAAACCTGCAGATACCCTGAGCTGTAACGGTACACGTCAAAGCTAAACGCAGTACATGGATGCGCACGATGCGAGGTCTGGTGTACAATAGCTCCTCAGATTATAAACATAAAAAATTACAACATTAACTATATAAATAAAATCATTATTTATATAACTGTGTAACTTGCATATAGCACCAAGGATCTGTGTAGGACAACCTGCCAAGTACTTGTGTTGTCAGTTATGAACGTTATGGTGATTTACGTCTTAGGGGGCAGAAACTAACTGACAGTACTAACGGTAAAATCCTAGATGATTAACGTGAAGTGGGCTTTCTTATTCAGTGCTTTTACAAGTGCATCAGAAAACCAAAGTATTGTCCTGAAAGTCTCACATCATTTTTTTTAAATGCATGTAAACACGTTAGTCTGGCTGAAGGTGAATTGGTTCTAATTGAGCTGAAGCACCCAGATAATGAGGTAGCAATCCAAATACATTCTGCATGGAAACAGGTCAGCCAAACTTAACCAGCTGGACACGCACGTTCTGGTCTTCTGAATATCACGCGTAACACCATCAAACAGGACCATGCATACCTGTTGAACTCTGCTGCGGCGTTGTTGTCCATACCTTCAGCCATTGTGCATATCCTGTTTCAATTCTGTCTGCTTGTCTCCCGCCAGCGGGTGTTTACTGCTTGTGTTGCCTATTGTATCGTAGCAGCTGGAAAAATGCACACAAGAAAGGGCGCACATTGCCACCTACTGTTCTGGAGTGGAACAAACTTTATTCGAAAGGCTGGTTTTCTAACGTGTTTGTAAACTAGGATAAGGACTGCCAGCTTATTACCATAAGATGGACCTGTATCGACTTAGATGTCGGTCAGAGCGCTTTTAACCGCAGTGACCGACACATGAATCAGCTTTTTGTTTGGTTTGTTTGTTTGTCCAGAACTCCCACTGCATGATGTCAGCAAAGATGTGGAGGTTCTGACTGACCAGCAGCTCTGGAACCAGGAGAGGACCTCCAGTTTGGACCAGGAACAACCAGAACTGTTACAGGAGGGACCAGAACCTCCACAGATAAAAGTGGAGCAGGATGAGTCAGAACCTTTGCAGGTTCTAGAACAAGAGGAGCTCTGCATCAGTCAGGATGAAGAGCAGCTTGTACTGAAGCAGGAGACGGTTACCTCCCTTGTGACTCCTGCTGATGAGGACAGAGACCACCATGGACCAGAACCAGACAGACACCAGCTCCTTTTGTCACTGTTTCCTGAGGCTGAGACCAGAGCTGCTGCTCCAGGGTCAACAGGTGAGGGCGGCTTTTGTAAAGTGTGGGTGTCGAGATTTCTCTCTCTCTCTCTCTCTCTCTCTCTCTCTCTCTATATATATATATATATATATATATATATATATATATATATGAAATCTTCGGTTCATCACGCAGGATCTTAGTGCGGCGTCGAGTAGGTGAAAGGATGGTTCCACAGTGTGTGGCATCAACTGTCAAACATGGAGGAGGAAGTGTCATGGTCTGGGGCTGTATTGGTGGCTCCAGGGTTGGTGACTTGTACAGAGTGAGAGGCACCCTGAACTAAAACTGCTACCACAGCATTCTCCAGCAGTACCTCCTGGTATGTCCCTAGTTGGTCAGGGGCAATGCCAGAACTACCTCAGGAAAAAAGAACAAGATGGTAAGCTTGAAAACATGAATTGGCCGGCACCGTCTCCAGACTTAAACCCCATCGAGCTGGTTTAGGATTAACTAGACAGAAGAGTGAAAGCAAAGCAACCTACCTAAGTGCCACACATTCATGGGAACTTCTGCAACAGATATGGGACGAACATTCTGACGAATATTTGATTGTAGAAAGAATGCCACGAGTGTGTTCAGCTGTTATAATAATAATAATAATAATAACAAACTTTATTTATATTGCACAATTCATACAGGAAATGCAACTCAAAGTGATTTACAAATTGGTATTCCCTCCCATTCCCAGGAATGTAAAATTATTTAAACAACAATTCCCCCTCATTACACCCATGTTCTGACACACAAACACACGACATAAGAAAGAAAATAAAACACCCTGGGCTGAGTTCAGATGAGCCAGAAAAGCTAAGTTAAGGAAACACCATTAGGGGATCCATCTGCCCCGACAGTGGCAGATCCACAGCAGCAGCCGAGGTACCGACACATGGCACCCAGGGGAGGTAGGGTGGATGCCCCCACCTCTACAGTCACAGTTGCCCTGGACTCAGTCGCTCCCCTTAAACTTAAACGAAAGAAAACCACCTCTGATCCTTGGCTGAACGAGGAAACACGCAGCCTCAGGCGGCGTTGTAGGGCGCTGGAAAGAAGGTGGAAAAAGGACAAGCTACTAATCTCACATCAGCTTCTGATGGATGCCCTTGACCTGTATCAGAGAAGTGTTAGATCTGCCAGGAACAAATACTTTGCATGCATAATCTCTCAGCATCAGGGTGATCAGCATAAACTGTATAGCACTGTCAACTCCATCTTGTCAATAACTGAACCTGGTAGTGTGGATCCCTCTGTGTCGTTGTGTGCTGAGCTCCAGACCTTCTTTCTAAACAAAGTCCGGGACATTAGGGATAGTCTTGTGCAACCAGGATCCGGCTGTCCTGATGTACCACCAGCACCTCCCTCATTCTGTGATTTCACTTCCATATCTCTTAGTGAATTGTCAGATCTGATTGGAAATATGAAATCAGCAGGTTCTCCCGAGGACCCTCTCCCCCCGAAGATGGTGGGTGAGATCATCCCTATTTTGGGCCCCACAATTCGAGACATTTTTAACTCTAGCTTGGCTTCTGGGGTGTTTCCTACTTCTTTTAAAAAGGCGGTTGTGCAACCAATTAAAAAAAAAAACTGGTTTAGATGGCTCAAACCTTGCAAACTTTCGGCCAATCTCCAAATTACCGTTTTTGTCTAAGGTCCTTGAAAAGATTGTCTATTCACAGATTACAGCACACATGAATAGCTTTTCTCTGGATGACGTGTTCCAGTCTGGGTTTAGGCCACTTCACAGTACTGAATCAGCCCTTCTTCGCGTGACCAATGACATCCTGGTGGCTTCTGACTCTGGGTCGCCTGTTTTGCTCCTACTATTAGATCTTTCTGCAGCATTTGATTCCGTTGACCACGATATTTTGCTGGGTAGACTTGAGTCATGGGTGGGGCTAAGGGGTACCTCACTTCAGTGGTTCTGCTCATATCTGTCAAACAGAGTTTTCAAGGTCCAGTTGGGTAATTGTTCCTCTGCATTCCTCCCACTTCCATGGGGAGTCCCGCAGGGATCTGTGCTTGGGCCTCTCCTGTTTTCAATTTACATCCTTCCCCTGGGTTTCATCCTGAGGAAATATGGCCTGGGCTATCATATTTATGCAGATGATTGCCAGATCTACCTGGCTTTGAAAAAACCAGACTCCATCTCTCTTCTGGACCAATGTTTGGCTGAAGTGAGGGTTTGGCTTGCTAATAATTTCCTTAAGCTAAATTATTCTAAGTCTGAGGCACTCCTGATGACCCCTAACCAAACAACTCAAATATCTTCTGATTTGGCCACTCTCCCTTTTGACCTCAAGCAGTGTGTTACCAACCTTGGGGTGAAATTTGATACACAGTTTTCCATGGGCCCTCAGATTAATGCAGTGGTCAGATCGTGTTTTTATCAGCTGCGCAGACTAGTCCGCTTAAAATCGATCCTGAAACGAGCACACCTGGAATCCGTAATCCATGCTTTTATCATCTCTCGACTGGATTATGCAAATTCCATTTTAATTGGTTTACCTGCCTCCGCTCTTAACAGGCTTCAGGTTGTACAAAACGCGGCAGCCAGGTTTTTAACAAACACTCCTAGGAGAGAACATATCACACCTGTACTGGCGCGGCTCCACTGGCTACCCGTAAACTTTAGGGTCAAATTTAAAATCCTGATTTTTGTTTTTAAGGCCCTGAACGGTCTGGCACCGGATTACCTGTCGGATCTTGTCACTAGATATGTGCCAAACCGGGCACTGAGGTCTGCTGATTGCCTGCTGCTTCGTGTTCCACTAATGAAATACAAAATGCGGGGGCAGCGTGCTTTTGTCTATGCTGCTCCGACACTATGGAATGCACTTCCTCTTTCGGTGAGGCTGGCGCAATCCCTCCTCCGGTTCAAATCGCTGCTGAAGGCTCACTTTTACGACCAGGCATTTTTAAATCCCTGACTTTTATTATTTTATTATGTGTCTTTTTATTGACTGTAATTATCTGCCTTGTTGTGCATTTTATTGTTGACCGTGTATTGTTTTATATTGTGTTTTTACTTTTTATTCTGTACAGCACTTTGGTCGGCTGCCATGCCGTTTTTAAATGTGCTTTATAAATAAAGATGGTATGGTATGGTACAGTTGACCACCGCCCTCGGGGCAGAGGGCTCCCACAGAGGAAGCACTGGAAAAGGATAAAATAAAGGATGGTAAAACTCTGATAGTGTACAGATAAAATAAATAATAATATGAATAAATGAGTAATTAAAATAATCAGTTAAAAGCTAAGCTAATAGGGTAAGTTTCTAAAAGATAGTAAAATTCTGATAGAATAAAACATGTAAGGATAAACTAAATAAAATAATAGATAAATGAATAATAAAAATCTGCTAAAAGCTAAGCTAAAAAGGTGAGTCTTGAGCCTGTTTTTAAAAACGTCAACGTTCTCTGCGGCCCTGGTGTCTTCTGGCAGCCCATTCCAGAGGCGAGGGCCGTAATAATGAAAAGAAGAATTATATCTGCCAAAGGTGGCTACTTTGATGAGTCAAAAGTATAGAATACATTTTGGTCTATAAATTAATTCCATTATTTCTTTTTTAACTCCAGTTGCTTATTTGTACTATGCCTTCATTTCAGAGAGCAATGTGACATTAAACTGCATAATTTACAATAAAAAACAGGAAAAATTAGTGTGCTCTAAAACTTTTGACTGGTTGTGCATATGTGTTTGTTTATATATATATATATATATATATATATATATATATATATATATATATATATATATATATATATATATATATATATATATATATATACACACACACACACACACACACACACACACATATGTGGATATGTAGGTACACGTGCGTGTGTGCGCTTATATATACATACCCTTTATCTATTTATAATTGTATATACAGTACAGACCAAAAGTTTGGGCACACTCATTCAATGTGCTTTCTTTATTTTCATTACCATTTACTTTGGTAGAGTCTCATGGAAGGCATCAAAACTATGATTGAACACACATGGAGTTTTGTACTTAACCAACAAAGGTGAAATAACTGAAAACATATTTTATATTCTATGTAGAATTTACTGCACTGATTTCCGATTTGCTTCAACTGAGTCTTCCTCGGTCAGAAGGAACGGTCAACTCTATTGGTACAGTTCAAGCTGTTCATTAGCATTCTGTTCCAGTGTGTACAGATGACCTCAGAGATGTGTGGGTGTATACATGGGATGTGATGTGATGTGGTTATGTAGAAAACACTAATAAAGGGGAGAGATCAAGAGACAGCAATACATGATGGTCAATCTACAACTCTATACAATGATTGGCAACTCTAGTACTGTAATCTACACCATCATACTATGTCCACCAGATGGCACTATCAAGCAACAAACAGAGGCTGATAAATATCAGCTAACCTTAGCAGGCTCAACTGCCCAACAGTTCAAAGATTGGAGACACATCACTAATAGATTAAATGCAGTCAAGCGACTGGGATGAATAGCAAAGCAAACACGCCCCCCAATACACTGTAGGCCCCATTATGGCGTTGGGTTCTGTAAATCTGTACTATACAGACTAAACAGTCCACAAATAACAATAAACAACAATAGAGGACATCAGTCCATGTTTATACATGCACATAGATTCAACTCAGCTTCCATACTCACATAATAATTATGCATACAGGAGGTGTACACCCAAGAAACACCGGCAAACACCTCAACGCCTCTCAACTACTCAATCAACAAAACAGCAGGGCACACTCAGGATGCCATATTATATGCTGAGGTGCATCATGGGAAATGTAGTGTGATCAATGCACCGCAAACGGGGGACTTTTAACATTCTATTTTATTCAAAATAGTCACCCTTTGCCCTGATTACTGCTTTGCACACGCTTGGCATTCTCTTGATGAGCTTCAAGAGCTAGCCATCTGAAACAGTGTTGAAGGAGGAGTATATACACACTGCTCACAAGAATTAAAGGAACACTTTTTTTTATTGGGCCTGGCATGAAATCAATTTAACCTGTCTGATAATTTCCTGGTTGATTAAGCAGCTGAGGGCATTGTTAATCACTTTCAGCTGTATTGGTGTTCATGGACTTAACGACAGGTGCACTAAAGTGGCAAAAATTACAAACCCCTCAAAACAGAACTGGTTTAACTTGTGGAGGTCATTTCAAGTTTCTCCCTCTTGATCTTTTTTGGCTGGTTTTCCATTCGTGCTAGTTTTGGCTCTCTACTGGCAGTATGGGGCGGCTCCTTAACCCTACAGAAGTTGCACAGGTTGTCCAACTTCTCCAGGATGGCACATCCACACGTGCTGCAGCAAGAAGGTTTAGGCCTAGTCCACACGTAGCCGGGTTTTTAAAAAAACGAATATCTGCCCCTCCAAAAACTTGCATCCACACCACCTCGTTTTAAAACAAAACTCTGTTCACACGTACCTGGATAAATACGTTAAGGACATGCTAGACCTGTAGGCGGCAGTACTTCCCCGTTCTTTACCTCGTCCTTCATCTGTGGTCTTCCGCAAGGAGCAGTAATTCCGCTTGCAAAAACAAACAAGCAAAAAGCGCTTGGACAATTGATAAAGTGAGCGCAGCTCTGAGGGCATCCATGCTGTCGGCTAGTGTAAACACAGGTCACACACGTGATGTCAGCATTTTTTGTCGCGGAAAGTGACGTTGCGGACCTTAAAACTCCGGTTTTGTCTGTCCACACGCAGACACCCAAAACGGAGAAAACGCAGATCTTCACTTTGGCCGGAGTTTTTAAAAAGATCCGTTTTCGTGTGAAAAAACTCCTTTTTCGTGTGGATGACAGGCCAAAACGTAGAAAAATATCTACGTTTTGGGAGATCCCCGGCTACGTGTGGACAGGGCCTTAATGTGTCGCCCAGCACAAAAGGACCAAAATAAAGGGGGCAGAAAGTCAAAAAAAGGGGGGCAGAAGAAGATGTTTTTCCAGACGCCAAGAAAAATTAAATGCCAAATCCCCCCTGCAAAGTGTGTCACTAGAGTTTAAAACAAAAATTATTCTGTGCAAATATTGGTGTATTCACCTTTAATACTAGTTATTAAAATGCAGCAGTTGCTGGATTGGTGCAGTTCAAAGTGGAGTGCATCAAATAAAACAATATTAACATAAAAAGTGAGACGTGTCATAATTTAAGCGATTCCTTAACCCTACAGAAGTTGCACAGGTTGTCCAATTTCTCCAGGATGGCACATCCACATGTGCTCCAGCAAGGTTTAATGTGTCTCCCAGCACAATCTCCGGAACATGGAGGAGCTTTCAGGAGTCTGGCGGTTATTCTCGGATAGCTGGACAGGGCCGTAGAAGGTCCACAACCCATCAGCAGGACCGATACCTGCTCCTTTGTGCAAGGCGGAACAGGCTGAGCACTGCTCGTGCCCTACAGAATGACCTCCAGAGGGCTACTGGTGTGAATGTCTCTACCCAAACAAGCAGGAACAGACTTCATGAAGATGGCCTGAGTGCCTGACATCCTGTAGTGGGCCCTGTGCTCACTGCCCAGCACCGTAGAGCTCGACTGGCATTTGCTCAAGAACACCAGAATTGGCAAGTCCGCCATTGGCGCCCTTTACTTTTTACAGACGAGAGCAGGTTCACCCTGAGCACCTGTGATAGACGTGAAAGAGTCTGGAGAAGACAAGAAGAACGTTATGCTACCTGCAACGTCATTCAACGTGACAGGTTTGGTGGTGGGTCAGTGATGGTCTGGGGGGCATATCCATGGAGGTACGCACAGACCTCTACAGCCTAGGAAATGGTGCTCTGACTGCCATAAGGTATCAAGATGAAATCCTTGAACCCTTTGTCAGACCCTACGCTGATGCAGCAGGTCCTGGTTTTCTCCTAATGCACAACAATGCCTGGCCTCTTGTGGCAAGAGTATGCAGGCAGTACCTGGAGAATGAAGGAATTGAAACAATTGAATGGCCGTCACGATCCCCTGACTTAAACCCAATAGAACATCTGTGGGACGTTATGTTTCGGTCCATTAGGCGGCGCCAAGTTGCTCCTCAGACTGTACAAGAGCTCAGGGATGCCCTCACACAGATCTGGGAGGAAATGCCACAAGACACCATGCGTTGTCTCATTAGGAGCATGCCCTGACATTGTCAAGCATGTTCACAAGCTTGTGGGGGCCACACAAGATACTGAAAAGCAATTTGAGTTGCAGAAATTAAGTTTTTGAAATAATGGACTAACCTGCCACATCTTCATTTCACTCCGATTTTAGGGTGTCTACACAATTGAGCCCTCAGTAGGCTGATACCTTTTATTTCCATTAAAAGACTTGGCATCCTTTTGTTCCTAAGACATTGCCCTGTCTTTATTTGTATAGATATCCAACTTCATATTGAGATCTGGTGTATCTAATGTGTTTCTTTAAAGTGTTTCTTTAATTTTTGTGAGCAGTCTATATGTATATAGAGAGAGATCGAGAGAAAGAGAGATTTTTATTAAAATGTTCAATGTTCTAACTTTAAATAAGTTTTGATCATTAAATATTCTTTAAATGACTATCTATTTCAGAAGTATTTGTTCATTTATGACAAAATTGCTCAACACTATAAAAAACTGACACGCTTCCAATGTGAAGTAGGGGTAGCTGCCACGTGGAGGTGGGGGGCTATAATTGAGAAATATTGTGTTAATCAGTGTTTTCCTTTGCATTTTGTCATGTCCAGAACTTCCACAGCATCATGTCTGGGGAAAGGAGGGGGTTTTGACTGACCATCAGCTCTCTAACCAGGAGACCACCTCGGATTTGGACCAGAAGGAACCAACACCTCCACTGATCAAAGAGGAACAATATGAACTCAGTATCAATCAGCATGAAGGACAGTTCATTCTGAAGCAAGAAAATGTTACCTTTATGGTGACTTCTCCTTCTGCAGAAACATGTCAGCCAGAACCAAACAGGAACCAACTCTTGTGCCAGGGTTCTACTGGAGCTGAGAACCAAGATCAGGATGGATATAGTACTGAAAACTCAGAACCTAACAGCAATGGAGAACTTACACAAAATAAAAAATGTCAACAAACCAAAGATCACAAACACAGGATAGACAGCCAGAAACTAAAAAAGCACAAGAAGGCTCACAGAGACAAGAGAGCATTTACATGTAAAATGTGTGGAAAATTATTCAGTCGCAATTGGTTTTTAACTCTTCACATGAGAACCCATACAGGTGAGAAACCATATTCATGTAAAACTTGTGGTAAATGTTTTTCTAGGAGTGATAACTTGACTAGTCACATGAGAATTCACACAGGTGAGAAACCACACCTATGTAAATTTTGTTGTAAATGTTTTACTAACAGGAGTGACTTGACTAATCACATGAGAACTCACACAGGTGAGAAACCACACACCTGTAACATCTGTTGTAAATGTTTTACTATCAGGAGTGACTTGACTAGTCACATGAGAACTCACACAGGTGAGAAACCATTTCCATGTAAAACTTGTGGTAAATGTTTTTCTAGGAACGATAACTTGACTAGTCACATGAGAACTCACACAGGTGAGAAACCACACCCATGTAAAATTTGTTGTAAATGTTTTACTAACAGGAGTGACTTGACTAGTCACATGAGAACTCACACAGGTGAGAAACCATATTCATGTAAAACTTGTGGTAAATGTTTCTCTCAAAGTGGTCACTTGACTAGACACATGAAAACTCATCACATGTGAGAAGTATTTTCCATGATTGATCTGTAGGGCATGATTCAGACCAATATTTTCCTTGTTCTGGCCAAGGACAAAATGACAGCGACAAACTCAGTGGGGCCCAAACCTGCAACCGCAAATGTTGCAGTTCTATGGACATTGAAACTTTTGAACTATTGGATATTAGACAGAAATGGAGATCTTTTTTTTTGTGTGTGGATTAAGTAAATAAATGACCAGTGGCGGCTCATCTTTAGGGGGTGCTAGGGTGCCACCCTACCAGTCTCACGGGAAGAGGAGAAAGAAGAATATAGGAAGTTACCATTTCTACACTGACGATTATCAGATCTACCTCGGGACAAATGGACCAAACACAGACTCGCTACTGTTGGAATGTCTCTCGGAGGAGAAGGGATGTTAGCAGCCAAATTCCTTAGACTTAACAAGTTTAATACTGACTGAAGTATTTTTTTTATCAAATACTGTATCTCACACTTCATCTGCTATCAATCCTCTGAACTTTGACTTCAAACAGTGTGTGACCAATCTGGGGGTGAAATTGGATGGTGGGTTATCGATGGTCCCTCAGATAAATGCGGTGGTAAGGTCATGTATTTTTTTTCAACTACGCCTTCTAACTCGCGTTAAGATGATACTGAAATGATCACATCTGGAATCTGCTTTTCATGCCTTTCATCACCTACCGTCTGGACAATGCTAACGCACTTCTTATTGGTACTACGGTTTCGGCCTTGAACCGGCTGCATTTAGTACAGAATGCTGCAGTATGGTTCCTAACAAACACAAATAGACACAGTCACATCACCCCGGTTCTGTCGCATTTACATTAGCTTCCAGTAACATTCAGGGGGAGATATAAAATTCTGCTTTTTGTGTTAGAGGCCTTAAATGGTCTTGCTCTAACCTATTTATCAGAGCTGCTTACACAGTACGTACCGGCTCGCTCACTGAGATCGGCTGACTGCTGCTCTGTGCCCATGAAATATAAAACAATGGGGGAGCGGCGGTGGTCGGCTGTGGTGGCCTGGGTGCTTTCCAGGTGTGCCTAGGTGGAGGTGGGGGCCTCTGCCCTCCCTGCCCTGGGCGCCTTGTGTCGGTGCCTTGGATGCTGCTGTGGATCTGCTGCTGCCGGGGTAGATGTCTCCCCTGACGGTGTTTCCTTATCCTTAGCTTAGCTGATCTGGCTCATCTGATCTCAGTCAATTGTTTTGTTTTTTTTTACCATGGGGAAGGGGGCATGTGTGTGTGGTGTGCGTGTGTGCCGGAGGATGAGTGTTGTGAAGGGGTTGTTAGTGTCAGACTTTTTAAAATTCTGGGGGTAGGAGGGAGTGTGGGTATGCGGGGCCTTTTTAATTTGTTAAATACTTTGAGTTGCCTTCGGGTCGGGGAACAGGTCCTGACTGTTGTTTGTGCTTATGGGCCAAATATCAGTTCAGAGGACCCACCCTTTTTGGAGTCCCTGGGATGAGTGCTAGATAGTGCTCCATCAGGGGACTCCATTGTCCTGCTGGGGGACTTCAATGCTCACGTGGGCAATGACAGCTTGACCTGGAGGGGTGTGATTGGGAGGAACGGCCCGCCTGATCTGAGCTCAAGTGGTGTTTCTTTATTGGACTTCTGTGCAAGCCGCAGTTTGGCCATAACGAACACCATGTTCGAACATAAGGATGCCCATCGGTACACTTGGTACCAGGGCAGCCTAGGTTGCAGGTCGATTAGATAGACTTTGTAGTCGTATCATCTGACCTGCGGCCGTATGTTTTGGACACCTGAGTGAAGAGAGGAGCGGAGCTGTGAACTGATCACCACCTGGTGGCGAGTTGGATCAGATGGCAGGGGAAGATGCCACGTAGACCTGGCAGACCCAAACGCATAGTGGGGGTCTGCTGGGAACGCCTGATAGAAGAACCTGTTAAGACGGTTGGGGATGGGGAGATGCTGACGTCAACTGGGGCTATAGTCGGACGGTGGAAGGAATACTTTGAGGAGCTCCTCAATCCCACCTATGAGCATTCCGAGTAGGAATCAGAGCCGGGAGACCTGGGGATGGACTGTCCAATCTCGGGGGCAGAAGTTGCTGAGGTAGTCATGCAACTACACAGCAGCGGAGCCCCGGGGACGGATGAGGCTCATCCTGGGTATCTCAAGGCTATGGATGTTGTAGGGCTATCATGGTTGACACGTCTCTGCAACATTGCATGGTCATCGGGGGCAGTTCCAGTGGAGTGGCAGACCAGGGTGGTGGTCCCCATCTTTAAGAAGGGTGACCTGAGGGTGTGTTCCAACTATAGGGGGATCACACTCCTCAGCCTCCCTGGAAAGGTCTACTCCAAGGTATTGGAGAGGAGGATCCGATTGACCAGCTCTATACCCTTGCAAGGGTGATGGAGGGGGCATGGGAGTTTGCCCAACCAATCCACATGTGTTTTGTGGATTTGGAGAAGGCTTATGACCGTGTCCCCAGGGGCACCCTGTGGGGGACGCTCCAGGAGTATGGGGTGGGTGGCTTTCTGTTAAGTGCCATTCAGTCCCTTTACCAGAGGAACATGAGTTTGGTCCGCATAGCCGGTAGTAAATCAGACCTGTTCCCAGTGAGGGATGGACTCCGCCAAGGCTGCCCTTTGTCACTGGTTCTGTTCATTACCTTTATGGATAGAATTTCTAGGCGCAGCCGTGGTGTGGAGTGTGTCGAGTTTGGTGGCAGGAGAATCTCGTCTCTGCTTTTTACGGATGATGTGGTCCTCCTAGCTTCATCCAGCTCTGACCTTCAGCTCTTGCTGGGTAGGTTCGCGGCCGAGTGTGAAGCGGCTGGGATGAGGATCAGCAACTCCAAATCTGAGACCATGGTTCTCGACTGGAAAAGGGTGGCTTGCCAACTCCGGGTCGGGGGAGAGCTCCTACCTCAAGTGGACGAGTTTAAGTATCTCGGGGTCTTGTTCACGAGTTAGGGTAGGAGGGATCGGGAGATCGACAGGCGGATTGGTTCAGCGTCTGCAGTGATGTGGACGCTGAGCCAATCTGTCGCGGTGAAGAGGGCGCTGAGCCAGAAAGCCAGGCTCTCGATTTACCGGTCGATCTATGTCCCAATCCTCACCTATGGTCATGAGCTTTGGGTAATGACCGAAAGAACGAGATCGCGGATACAAGCGGCCGAAATGAGTTTCCTCAGTAGGGTGGCCGGGCTCAGCCTTAGAGATAGGGTGAGGAGCTCGGACATTCGAGAGGCACTCGGAGTAGAACCGCTACTCCTCCGGATCAAAAGGAGCCAGTTGAGGTTGTTTGGGCATCTGGTCAGGAAGCCTCCTGGACGCCTCCCCGGGGAGAAGTTTTGAGCATGTCCCGCCGGCAGGAGGCCCCCGGGTCGACCCAAGACACGTTGGAGAAGTTACATCTCCAATCTGGTCCAGGAACGTCTTGGGGTCCTGCCGGAGGAGCTGGTGGAGAAGGCTGGGGAGAGGACGGTCTGGAGCTCCCTAGTTGGGATGCTGCCCCCGCGACCCGGACCGGATAAGTGGAGGAAGACGACAACTTTGAGTTGCATGTATTGTAGGATAAAGTGCTATATAAATAAAAGTTGATTGATTGATTGAGCAAGCTTTTGAGTGTGTCACCCCAGTGTTCTGGAACACACTACTCCTTTCTATTAGGCAGCCTTCATCCATTGCTGTGTTTAAATCTCAGCTGAATACTCACTTGTACAAATTGGCTTTTGAACAATGCCTCTTTTATTGTGTTTTTACTGATTGTTCTTATCTGTAATATGTTTTATGATTGTTAAAAAATAATTTACCAGCCGCAACAGTAAATGATGACCTTTTTTTTTTAACAAAAATACTTAAGAGCACCCCTCCTTTGGCAGCCACCCATCATGTGGTGGCGGGGTTTGAGTCTCCCAATGGTCCTAGGAGCGAAGTTGTCTGAGGCTTTATGCCTCTGGTAGAGTCATCCATTGCAAACAGGTCCTAGATGAGAGATCAGACAAAGAGCAGCCCAAAGTCCCCTTAAGAAGAAAAATTTACTTGTAAACAGTATTCTCTCACTCGGACACGGGTCTCCGGGGCCCTCTTCTGGAGCCAGGCCTGGAGGTGGGGCACACTGGCGAGTGCCTGGTGGCCGGGCTTTCACCCATGGGGCCCAGCTGGGCTCAGCCTGATGAGTATGTGAGTATTGTGATTGGGCCTCAGAGAGGCCAAAGGAACAGCAGCAGATCCAGAGGCAGGAAATCTAGAGAAAAGCTTTTCTAACCCACAACCTGATTCTGGAGCTCCGATTGTCACGAAGACCGCAGAATATCTTCTCCGGTTCTGGAAAGAACTCCACCAAGTTGAGGAGGAGAAGAAAGTTTCCACAGCCTGGTGAGAAGATTTCTGCAGCAGCAGCAGTTAGTCGCTTTAGCTGATCAACTCTCCCAGAGACTGAAGTGAAGACATTTTTACTGCAGAGCCTCGAATATTCTCCTCACACACCAGAACAACAAGCTAGCTCTGCCAGCAGCTTCCGGTTTCTGCTTTTTTCGGTGGTCGGTGACCAGCGTAAAGGTGCACTACCGCCACCTTTTGGACTTTCTGAGCTCTGATGAACAATATAATGAAAGAATAATGCTAATTAATTACATGTTCTATATATTATCAACTGAATACAATACTATAATAATATATACTATTAAATACTCTATATATGCTGTAAGGTAGAAAAACAAGGGCCCAGGTGCAATTTGACCCCCAGGTGAGTCATGCGCGCTAACCAGTCAGCCAAAGAGACATCCCCTTGGCCTAGTAGCCAGGGCGCATGATCAATCGGGACACTGTGGCAGGATGCTCACACTGCCACATATACATAAATTATAGATTATTATAACACACCGACCACTGCCCAGTTCTCTAACCCACCAGCACAATCAGCAGCAGACAGAGATGTGGACGTCCTAAAGACGAGACACTCAGACACAAGAGGACCAATGTGGTTTCTGCCATCCAGGCCGGTGAGGAGTGCTCTGAGCAGTACATTGGGGAGACTGAACAGCATCAACTAAAGAGGAGGAGCCAACACCTCAGGACCACAATCAGCTGTCAGGACACCTGAGGACAAAGATGTTTGTGTTTTAGACAGAGAACACAAGTGGTCTGAGAGAAGCTTCTGGAAGGTTTGCTTGTGTAAACAGACAAGCCCTCTGAAGATGCTGAACTCTTGCAACAGAATGATTTTATCTTCATGCTCATGTTAACAGGCTTAAAGTAGAAGTGATCCTGAGCCTGAAAGGTTTTGGTCAGAACAAGGAAATCATAACATAATTTTTGTCATCATTGGTTAAAATGCTCTTTTAAAGGTGATTCTAACACAACAACCATGGAAACTTCTAGTAAAAATGAGCTGAATGTTTGAAGTAGAAACTAGAAAAGAACACAAAGTCAGATCTACGTTCCAGAGGACACGAACACAGACTTAGCTAACAGCAAAGGGACACATTTGTGTCAATAATCTGAACCCAGACCAGTTTTAGTCCTGGCTTTAAACCTGGATCAGCCTGAAGTGGAGAATTGTTATCAGCAGAAAATGTGGACCTGAGCAGGTGTTACTGCCTTGAACTCCAGCTGTGCTGTCAATGAGAAGCGTGATGATGTCACTTGTTTCTGAGGCCTCCAGCTGATCTAAAATGCTGCTGCAGCCAGACTCGTGAGGAGACATCAGATTTCTCCCACCTGAACTTGTTTCTCACCCTAAGAAAACCAGGCATGAAATAAGTAGTTCCTCCAGACAATTTAGATGTTGAATTCTAAAAACTCAGATGGATCAGTTTCCTCTTTGTTCCTAAAAACCTGCAACTGTGTGATTCCGGTTAAATCTGCTCAATTGATCATTTCTCTCTGATCTTCAACTGTTTCACTTTCCACTATTATTATTCTCAACCTGTCGCCTTTTGAACTGAAGCTGTAATCCACACATTCATCTCTTCCTTGTTGTTGCTGTTCATGCTGTTCCAACTCCAGCCCAGCAGGTGGCGGTAAAGTACTTTTCTGCTGGTCACCAACGACACATAACCTGTTAGCAGCGTTAGCTTGTTGCTCGTTAGCAGCGTTAGCTTGTTGTGTGGGTGTGTGAGGTGAACCTCAGGTTCTGCAGCAACAATGTCTTCAGCTCAGTCTCTGAGAGAGTTTATCAGAGAGCGGCTAACTGCTGCTGCTGCAGAAATATTCTCCGAGTTTGAACAAACCATCGTCCGCTACGAGGAAGAGCTCGATCGTCAGCGCAGACTGCTGGAGATCAGCTGGAAACCACAGATCAACTTACACAGAATAGGTATGAAACAGCAGCGGGACTCATGAGGTTTTACTGAGGACACAATCTCAGGACAGTCTGCTTGGGTCCGTTTGCTGTTCTGAAGCTTTTTGACACAACTGAGCTGAAATCAGCCGGTAAACTTTGTTCCACTTTAGAGAAATAAATCAATAACATTTCAGGGGTTTTAGGAAGTTTTTAATTTTCAGTAACTCTACTAAATCAGTTTAAAAGAGACAAACTTTAAAGACTTAGTGAACGTTTCCAGCTGATGTTCTACAATCAGAGACTTGTTTAGAAGTTTCTGTTAGTCTGATCTGTTTGTGGACATTACCAAGTAAAGCTGTCAGCAGCTTCAAAGTGGAGATGATTCCATGAAAACATCTCAGTCCTGTTTTCATCAGAGACTGATGCATCTGAGGAACATCTGGATGTTTATGTCTCTATAAACTCACCTGTAGTACCTGTGTGTCCATCCCAGAAGTCAGTAAGAATCTAAATCAATGTATCTGATAGATACTGAGTCCAGTTCTGCTGTGGGTCAGTCACACACACACACACACACACACACACACACACACACACACACACACACACACACACACACACACACACACACACACACACACACACACACACACACACACACATATTTACATGTTTATATATATATATATATATATATATATATATATATATATATATATATATATATATATATATATATATATATTAGGGCTGGGACTTGGTTACAAATTTTAATCTAATTAATTACTGGCGTTGTAATTAATTAATCTAAATTAATCACATTTTAATCATTTAGTAAAATGTGCTCTCAAAGCAAAACTTTTAATTAAAATTATGAGACAGAGAATCAAACATTAGACATGGTTATTACTGTAAACTAAAGCTTTTAATAAAAAAAATGCATTTTAATTATTCAAATGTCACTGTGTGATATGAAACAAGACCCAAATCAACTAAAATTTATAATTACAAATAGAAAACACCTGCAAAGGGTTCCTGAGCCTTAAAAGTCTCTCTGTCTAGTTGAATTACTGAAATAAATTTGAGTTTGCACCAGATTCTAATTTTTCCAGTTTCACTTGTTTGTATAATTGGGATTTTTTATTAGCATTTCTACTCATAATGTAGTAAAAACACACATAAATAATAATACTTCAAAATGACAGTAGAACAGGCTCAAATATGATCTAGAACTTAAATGTACTAACTTTTAACACCAGAGCAGGCGTGGCATATTCTGAGAATGATCAGGAACACTAACTGGTTCCAGTTGGATGACTGGAGGTTGATGGGATGATAAAAGATCATGGCGAGGAAATAATGATCTGACGAACAGGTGAGCGGACCTTCCTTACATGGGAAGTCCTGATGTCACGTTAAGAAGGGGATGCTGCAGACCCGCAGATTCACACCTGCAGCAGCGAATCTGGTGTGATCTCCAGCCTGATCACAACTTTCTCGTTCCTCGCTGTCCCTGATACACTTAAGCATCCGCCCCTTAGCTGATGACAGCTTCAACACACCTCGCTGCTTAATGATAGTAATGCATGTGATGTTTAGACAGACTCGTCTCAGAAACACAGAATTCCCCGACAGAATTGTTTAGAAAATCATCAGAAAAGTTTCAGAGTGTTTCTGTTTTAACTTAAACTTCTGTTTTCAACTTAAAGAAACGTTGTTTGTGATTGTTTACATAGTAGTGAGAACACGGAGCATTCTCCCAGCGGCAGCCAGGTGCCCCTCGTTTGTTTGACTACTTTCATAAACTACTGTTAGGGCACAGAATTATTCTGTCTGGTGCTTTCAGCTCTGCACAGATGTTACGTAAATGTTAAAAATATAGCTTACCGCAACTTTTGTAAAGTTCCCGGTGCCACCGGGCAGCCGCAGCGGTATCAATCCCTGAAATATGTCCGCGACACGGACTCCGTTGTTGTCTGGAAGTATTTTTTTTTCAAGTTAAGAAAAGAGGCGGACGTGTTTCCTAAATCCTGCTGTTGGGGTTATTAGGAGCGAACAATTAGTAAGCTTCAACTTACTTTTGGATTCTTCAATAAATTCTGTAAATATGGGAATATTTACTGATTTATTAATTAATTAAGATATTCTTAGATATACGGGGCACCATTCCCCTTTTTCCGGGGAAAAATTGAATCCAAAACTCTTATCAGTCTTTCTTGAAGTTCGTAGAATCCTTGGAGCAGAGACTTCTCTTCGACACAACAAAGCTACTGGAGACGAAAATCTGAATTTTATAACGTTTAATTAACAATTTGTCAATTGAATAAACAGTGGCATAAATGAATAATAACCATGTGATATAATAAAAGGATGTATATTCAAAATAATGTTCAAGGTGTTTTGTGTGTATGTAGGATGTATGAATGGGGTCCTTTGTTCTCACAAAGGAGTAGTGTGTGTGCGTGTGTATGGATTCAAAATGGAGTCTTGAATACAAGATGGCTGACTCCTTTGTCTGGCTAAAGTGTGGGTGGCAACTTGCACTTTAACTTCCAAAGCACTTAGAATCAGTAGTAACTTAACCTTAAATCACTCAAAACATTTCAAAGGATCATGCAACAACACAAAAGATTAATCACGAGTTAATATCCTTAGTTTATCAGCCTGGCCATGGCCGAACATTTAAAGATACCAAACAATGATTAATAAGCAGTTTATTCTTTCAAAATGACCCGACGGACGTGTTTGGGACGAAAGAGGAAAACACGAAGCTACTTTTTAAGCAATAGACGCGGTTTATTGCTTATTTGAGACTATAGAGGAAACGGGAGAAGAAAAGGAGAGAAAAAAATGAGTTTCCTGATCACCAAAGCAGCAAGGCGTCCCCCGCTGTTATGACTTGACGGTTCTCCGTTTTTCTCCGCAGTTTCCGGCGTCATCCGTCGGTTTGATGCTTTCTCCGTTGTTTGGCGTTCACGAGTGTTTCTCCACGGGCTGGACAGAGACAGCAAAGTTTCTTTCTGTGCTGAGTTATAACTTACAGCGTTTCTGAGAGCTGGATGGAGTTGTTGTTTCCCTCCGCAGTTCTGTGTCCTCAAACATCAGCTGGAGGGGAGCAGAAACGAGCAGATCAGCGGTCCCGTGGGCTCAACTTGGCTCTTAGAGCTTCCGCGTGCTCAAAGAAGTCGGAGCGTTCGACAAGCGTGTCCTCACCGCCAGATATCCTGGGCAAAAGAACGAGGTTTCTTTGTCTCTGCTGAAGATTTATGGTCTTAGTTCGCGGGGAAAGCTCCACGGCTTCCCGCACATGCGCAGAACGTGTTTCTGGTACTAGGCGGTGACATCATCCCAATGCTTCCGTGTGCAAAGCATCATGGGAAATGAAGTTTCTTGGCGCTGATGTGATTATTTGCTTTTCAGAGCAATTTAAGCACAGTCATTTTGGAGAAAATCACTGCATAGTAATTTCCTCATGAGGTCAGACCCTCAACATTCCCCCTTTTGGTTTCGGGGATCGCGCCCAAAGCTCGATCGTCGGAAGCACAGATGGGTTTGTTCCTCATGAACGTAGGTCGACTTGATTGTCGGAAGCACAGGTGGGTTTGTCCCTTAGGACGTTGGTCTCCTTGGACGCCTTTGTCTTTGGTCTTTGTCTTGGATCCTGGCGCCTTTGGTCTTTGTCTTTGTCAGGCACAAAGAGGATAGGAAACGGGATAGTCCCCAACGCGCATAACGAGAAGAAGCCACTCACGCAGGTGGTACGCAATGATGATGTCGTCCATGCGAGAGGTAGTAGTGTAGAAGGAGGAAGGTCGGTGGGCGGTTAACTCCACGAGTGGACACAAAGGCATCTCACCGCCGGCCATACAGTTCAGTTTATGGAGCACGCGGTGATGTACGAGGTCCATAGTTCGCAAACGCGCATTGACCTATGTGGTCCCAAGATTCCCCCCTTTTTGGTCCAAAGGGTGGATCAGGACAGTCTTTGGGCTAAAACAAGGACCATAAAACTAAGAGGTACTACAATGTGCTGGTGCGTCAGACAGAGTCATTGACAGACTGAGCTGGGCCGGCACATAACCACTAGTTAATATGTGACCAAGTAAGAAACAAAAATACAGAAAACCCAAAAAAAAAACATATAACATCCAAGAAAATTCATAGCAACCTTGAGGTCTCATAAAATACATTCTTAGGTCATACAGAATAACAAAGAAAATGTTGCTCACCCCCTTTAGACAGGTGTGGTACATTCGCGCTTGGATTCTCCCCGAACGCGGTCACGAGGCACACCGTAGGTGAGCAAGTGCATCTTATCTTGGAGTTTCTTAACACGCCTGTAGGCGGAATAAGCAATCACGGCCGTGATGAGCCATCCCATCCCCAGGGCGACCAATGTGCAGATTAAGGTGGTATAATCTGTGTCAATGTAGCGTCAAAGTAAGTTCACGCGGGGTTTGTGTGAACTTAACGAGTTTGGTTCCTTCAATCAGTAATTGTTGGTCAATTTCTAAATCGAAGGCAAAGTTATAACCCTGGAAAGCGTCCATGATCTCAATCTCTGAGTCATGCTGTTCGAGGTTGAGATGATGGAGTGCCAGGTTTCTAGTTCAAGGTGGAAATGCCTACCGTCCTTTCAAATACCAATGTTAGCATCGACCTAAACCTATAGATGTGAGGTGTCTCAATTATGGGAACATGTAACAGGAAACCGAGTTCTAATTTTCTGCATCAACGTGAATGGAAATTGCACTACCTAGGCTGTACGCTAGGTGGATTTGTGAAAGGTGCACAGTAGAGGGGTAGCAGCTGTCAAGCTAACTTTGAGCAGGTCCAGTGGTACCAAGTACGGGGAAATACGACTTTCAACCAAGCTGTCCAGCGTGGAACTTACTTCCCTGAGCAGGTCCTGCATCAAATCTCTCACCACTCATGTGTACACAATATCCTGATGTATGGTTTCAGACAAAGTCTTGATTGCACGTAGAGATTCATTAATCAGAGCAGAATGTAGGTTGACAGTTACAAGAGTA